ATCGACGGCCAGTGAATACGCGGCAGCGCTTCGTCTAGACAGCTCCTCGCCTGGCTGCTGTCCGACACTGCGTCGCCCTGCTCGTCCCCGCCTGTGACCATCGTGAGCTGCGCTAATAGCAGCCTGGCCTCGTCGACGACGCCGTGGAGCATGTCCGATAACTGGTCCATGGTAAACCGTACGCGCCGATACGATATGCGGTCGCCTACCCAGTCGATTACGCCGTCTGCCGGCGTGTTATACTGTATGTGCATGCCATACGTCCGCGTCTCGAGAATCCAATCCATCGGTGTTGGCTCGGCTTGGGGGGCCCCGGGCGTACGCGTCATGAACCTCTGTACCATGCGACGGACGTAGACAAAGAGACTCTCTATGCCATCATCGGCCGCCCCCTCGTCCGTCGTAGCGGCCTGACGAGCGACATCGTATTGCCTCTACGTATATGCCTTATAAACGACTAACATACGTGCTACTTTAATGATCGCCAAATACTTTGTTGTATAGTCGGTAATATCCATCCAGCCACCGTCGGCCCGGATGCCTATTACAGCGAGCGCGCTCACTATCGCGTTCTCGTACTGCCCTCTCTTAAGCTAGTGGTCCAGCATGCTAACGAGCATCTCGAGTGCTACCGGCCGGAGCGTATCCGACGTAGTATCGGAGTCCCCTTCTACCACGGCCTTAGCTAATTATTCGAACTTGTCCTACGCGTCGTACTACCTCTCGGTGAGCCGGTACGGCGGTCTCCTATCGTCCGGTAGCTCCTACGTCCGGAACCACATATAGAGCAAGACCCTCTAGACATCTTTATACCATACCTAAGTATCCTCCTTAATACGGTTATTAAACGGCCTCGTGGGCTTAATATGTACTTCCTTCCGCTAGACCTCGAATAATACGGCGTGCCCGACCTTATTAGGCGTAGATATAGCCCTGGCGTACTCCAAGACCTCGTTGACCGAAGTCCACATCATATGGAGCATGTCCTCTACGGCCTCCTGGATTAGGCCGGTGGTTTCGTAGAGCTGGCTGATGCGTAGTCCACTTAGATGCTCTGCCTATCCTACCCGCTGAAGCTACGGGTTCGGCTCGAGCTTGTCGTTGGTAGCACGGATGAGATCGTCATGGCTCGCCTTGACCTGCTCGGCTTGGTTCTACCGTAGTTGACGGAGTAGCTCGGTGGCCTGCCGTGACGCTGCCTCCTCGGCGACCGCCTCCGGCGCTTGGTCTAGCGGTTGGCCACGCCCTACCTCGAACTATTGGCTCCTAGCCCGTAATAAGAAGAACTGCTGGTATAGTATACCGGACGTCTACGGTATGCTACGTTCCTGATAAGATCTCGCCCTTACGTTACCGCCCTTCTTCTAGTCGTTCACCCACCCGTGATGTCTTCGGTAGTGATCCTGGATCCTTTGAGTTTGGCGATAAACATAAGAGCATCGGTGACATCGGATACCGTCCGTGCGTGGGTCGGCAAGATGGTCGATGGGGGCTGTTGATGGGTCGGGATACTGCAGCTGCGCAAGACTGGCCTGGTTCGTACGTATGCCCATTATACTAGAGATGGCCTTGACGATGCTACTACGGGTCGACGGTGGGATATGGCGGTGGCGTGTCCGTAGGTGGGTGGCTAACTCGTCACTAACCACAGCAAACTGACATGTTTTACAAATAGCGAGTGCATACTCTTCATAAAAGATAAACGGCTCCATTACTAGCGTAATTACGATAGTCTTGGGCCGTGGTGGTTGTGGGCTACTACCGAGATAAGTGGTGTTAGTCTTACATATTGGTGGATTGATGTTGACTGTGGTTGAGTTAAGATGCTGTTGGACGGGCAACTATCTTAACCACAGCATTAAACTGGACATGGGCGCTATCTCCTCATTCGGTAGCTGCAGCGCATTCCTTATCTCGTTTAACTATACTAAACTGCTTACCACAAAGGAAACGCTAGGTAGAAATACTATGATTGGCTGCTGCCTCAGTGAGCATAGCAAGGTTATGTGATGATAGCTCTAGCGTTGATTGGTGCACTGATGCACGAGCCATCTTGACCCTATCAAACCGTCAATCACGAATCTATACATATAGAGGTGAATACTGGGTTTATAATAAAGGTAAGATCATTTCTGAGCTCGCCTAATTCTCAGCTTTCGATGCATGTCTATATCGTCTATTTTAGATAAGAAAACCTCAATGAAGCTGACCCCCTGTCGTTTCAATGAATCTGACCCCTTGTCTTTAGGGACCCATTTCTATTTCTATGGGCATTTCAATGAATCTGAGTCGGATTCATCGTTGTCTGTATGTTAGGATTCACCTTAATCGTGTGAGCTTGCATGTTAGGAGGAGCTATAATATAGCCATTCACCTTATCTTGGTCTGGCTAGAGCCCGTCTCGGCACTTCTACCTGTCCTTAACACCTCCATCCAGTCGATTACCTAGATCAAACAGATAAAGCGCTTATCTAGTAGGGAAAGACCCATCTAGTCAGCTTCAGGCTACACTAGTTTACAATTATACAACATACTATATTTCACCGTAGTGTAAATTATTACTGCCTCCCAGGCCTAGCTCGTCAACAGTCCTTTTATATGCGCGCATATGCTAGCTGTAGTTGAATTGCTAAAGGTTAGGAAAGCTCTAGTATGTTGTTGCAAGCAGTTCGTTGTGGGAGAAAAATGTTTGCCTAACATTATTTTATCTTCACTTTGCTCTTACTTTTATATTCTAATATACACTTTTATTCATCATATAGCCTTACTTTATTATATTAATATAAGAACCTAATAACTACTAAAACAACATTCTGTGAATCATTTTCTACCTACGTATCTACTCTTACTCTAGTGTGGTGGTGTGCCTGCTGCGATATGCCTCCTTTGACGCTGCTCTCTTTGATTGCTGGCTGGGTTGTTACGGCCAGCTAGTCGTAGGGGTAGTTTGCAGAAGTTGAGGCTGCGGAACTGGTAACAGTAATCGTAGTCGGGGATAGCTTCAGGGAAGCTATGTCTGTCAATCGTAAGGGTGGGTAAGGCTTCGGTGATCAATCGTAGTCTTGTCAAGGTAGTAGCTGAAAGCGGATGTTAATCCTGATACGAAGTTAATTGCTGAAGAGCTATGGAAAGTCTGTCCTAGAGTCCGGCTCGAGTCCATCCTATATACAAGTCCTGGTCCTGAACGTATCCCTTGTCAATGATCAGTTCCTCTGATCGGGTGAGCGCTCATCGTTCGGCATGAGCGCTCATTGTTCGGCATGAGCGCTCATTACTTGGCATGAGCGCTCATGGCCCCACCATGGTCGCTCATGTCTTATCTTATCACCACGTGACTTGTACCATAGTTCTTCCGTTCCGTGAGAGGGTGCCTAGTGTCCCTTATCTCCTGCATATGTGGTGTATTATAACCGCCGCGAGCCTGCGGGGCAGGCCCTGTTCTTGGTCATGCATGTTGGGTTGTAACATGGGTGTAGTTGAAGTATCATACGCGGAAGCGGAATTACTAATCCCTATATCTGCCGGCGAGCTGCGCTGTAGTCTCCCTCGCTCTATTAGTAGCCCTACGCACGCCCCTGCTCTGCCTCCCTATGTTGATAACCACTCTCCCCTTACCACTATATACCTAACTTCTTATCCCCCCTCTTCCGTCATCTATCTACCTTACTTTAAGTAGTATTCTTATGCGTCGCAATAGCTCCTTTAACTTTTTTTTTTATGCTTATTTTTATTGGTGTCGGTTTGCCTGCTACTGGTAAGGAGAATATAACGTATCTTATGGCTATACGGTGTATCCTTTCTAAACGCGTTAGGCAAGGTATTGCTTTTTGCGATGCTATACCTGTTTAGTTTAACGCGTTTTAGCTACCTATTCGGTCTATTAATAGCTTATTGTCGACCGTATTGTTCTGGTCGCGTCCTTCTTCCTCTTCTTCTTCTTCTTCTTATCTTCCTTTATAGGTTCTTTTTACTCTTCTCTATCCTCCGTTCGCGCTCGTCCGTTACGCCTACTGCTGCTCTAGGTACAACTCCTCTTTATGCTTCTTTATTTATATTGATGTAAAGGCTTCTTTTCTTGAATCTCTACATATACCGCGTTCAGGTAATTATCTATTAACGTCCTCTTTTTATTTCAACGATGTGTTTTAGCTTAAGTCCTCAGTATGAGGTTTTTACCTTAGGGAGCTTTCCGTGGGCTGGACGCACGCGCGCGTAGCAAACAGACTCCTCATAATAAGGTAACTATGCATATCTCTGTTCTGCCCCTGGGGGCATATCTCTGTTCTGCACCTGGGGGCATATCTCTGTTCTGCACCTGGGGGCATATCTTCTTTTGCCCCTGGGGGCATATCTCTGTTTTGTCCTAGGGGCAGATGGAAACACCTAAAGGCTTTTATACCTAGGTAACGTCAAGATAATATAGTCACTGGTTTCATCATTCCGTAGTGTAATAGTAGGTACTTAATATAGAACTACCGTAGATACCATATTCCTACTATTAAATCTAATGTTACGAGCTGGATAAGGCAACTAACTGTGGCACAGAGCAAAAGCTTCGATAATGATGACTCCGCATCATTTTCCCTTGTTCTGCATTATATAGCTACGCGCCCACAGTGACAAGTTGCGGCGGGCATAACATCTAACTACCTACTTATATAACTACCTAACCCTCTTCTTGTTTGTCGTACTACCTACGTCCCTAAGCCTCTCCTCCCTCCTTCCCAACCTTCCCCCCAAAAGCCTGGCCCTAACCCGACGGGGCCGGGGCCGTGGGCGGCCGCTACGGCCGCTACTACTCTCCGCCTTGAGCGTTAACATCTGCGCCCTTATCGAGAAGCATCTGGACGATGTTGTCATCGCCTCTAAATGATGCAGCCTGAAGAGCGTTGCCATATCTGCCGCCTTGAGCGTTGACATCTGCGCCCTTGTTGAGAAGCATCTGGACGATCTTGTCATCGCCTTCACATGATGCAGCTTGAAGAGCGTTGCCATACTCGCCGCCTTGTGCGTTGACATCTGCGCCCTTGTTGAGAAGCATCTGGACGATCTTGTCGTAGCCTTCTAATGATGCAGCCCGAAGAGCGTTGCCATAGTCCCCGCCTTGAGCGTTAACATCTGCGCCCTTATCGAGAAGCATCTGGACGATTTTGTCATCGCCTCTAAATGATGCAGCCTGAAGAGCGTTGCCATAGAAGCCGCCTTGTGCGTTGACATCTGCGCCCTTGTTGAGAAGCATCTTGACGACGTTGTCGTGGCCCCTAAATGATGCAGCCTGAAGAGCGTTGCCATAGAAGCCGCCTTGTGCGTTGACATCTGCGCCCTTGTTGAGAAGTATCTTGACGACGTTGTCGTGGCCCCTAAATGATGCAGCCTGAAGAGCGTTGCCATAGAAGCCGCCTTGTGCGTTGACATCTGCGCCCTTGTTGAGAAGCATCTTGACGACGTTGTCGTGGCCCCTAAATGATGCAGCCTGAAGAGCGTTGCCATAGAAGCCGCCTTGTGCGTTGACATCTGCGCCCTTGTTGAGAAGCATCTTGACGATCTTGTCGTGGCCTTCTAATGATGCAGCCTGAAGAGCGTTGCCATAGTAGCCGCCTTCTGCGTTGACATCTGCGCCCTTGTTGAGAAGCATCTTGACGATCTTGTCGTGGCCTCCAATTGATGCAGCCTGAAGAGCGTTGCCATACTCGCCGCCTTGTGCGTTGACATCTGCGCCCTTGTTGAGAAGCATCTTGACGACGTTGTCGTGGCCCCTAAATGATGCAGCCTGAAGAGCGTTGCCATAGAAGCCGCCTTGTGCGTTGACATCTGCGCCCTTGTTGAGAAGCATCTGGACGATCTTGTCGTGGCCTTCTAATGATGCAGCCTGAAGAGCGTTGCCATAGTAGCCGCCTTCTGCGTTGACATCTGCGCCCTTGTTGAGAAGCATCTGGACGATCTTGTCGTGGCCTCCAATTGATGCAGCCTGAAGAGCGTTGCCATAGTCCCCGCCTTGAGCGTTAACATCTGCGCCCTTATCGAGAAGCATCTGGACGATCTTGTCGTGGCCTTTTTTTGATGCAATATAAAGAGCGTTGCCATACTCGCCGCGTTGTGCGTTGACATCTGCGCCCTTGTCGAGAAGCATCTGGACGATCTTGTCGTGGCCTTCAGATGATGCAGCCTGAAGAGCGTTGCCATACTCGCCGCCTTCTGCGTTGACATCTGCGCCCTTATCGAGAAGCATCTGGACGCTGTTCTGGCGACCCTCTAAAGACCCCCAAATGAGTGGTGTGTAGCCCGCTGTGGCCTTTGAGTTCAACGCAGCGTCGTCTGAGGCAAGTAGTCTCCGTAACACTTCGTCATGGCCATTCAATGCAGCCAGATGTACACTGTTGAGGCCACTCCTCGCTTGGTATCGATAGTTTGTTTGCCAAAAGATTGAGACCCATGTTTCGAATCGCTGGTTTCGCATGTCATACAGCCGCAAGATCTGCTTTTGCAAGCCCTCCTTTGGATTATTTGCTCCTCGTAAGTGTGATGGCCAGTGTATTGCAGAATATTCCAAAAAGGGGTATTGTGCTGTATTGTTGTCTGGCTTATGTGTATCAGCACGGAACCGATCCTCTTGAGTATCCCCAATTGACAAATATTGAACACAAATTTGCGTCATTATCGTGTCTGAATCTGGTCTGTAGAGGGAGTGTTTCCAACAGCTATCTGCTGAAGAGGCGGGAATATCCTGTGCAACTAGAAATTCCTTGGCTGTCTGG